GAAGCAGACTTCCCACTGAGCAGGGAGCCTGATGTGGGGCTTGATCCTGGACCCTGAGATCATGACCCGAGCCAAAGATAGATGCTTAACCAACTGAGCCACCCACACACCCCAGTCTCTTAGTAACTGATAGAACAAGTTGATAGAAAAGTCAGAAAGATACAGATAACTTGAATAATACTATCAACTGTCTTAGCTTAATTGACAGTTATAGAACACTTCATTCACTAATAACTGAATACACATTTTCCTCAAGTATATATGCAATGTGCACCACAAAAGCTTCACACCATAAAATAACTCTAAGTAATTTTTGAGGAAACCAAAACAAAAACTATGTTTTCTGTTCACAATGGAATTAAATTAATAACATATTTGTTGAAGTCCCCAATAGGTGGAATTTAATGTATTTCTAAATAATGCTTGGGTTCATAAAGACACAAAGGAAATTAGAAATATTTGGGGCTAAATGAAAACACAGTGTATCACAGTATGGGATAGAGTATTAGGAGATCTATAGCTTGAAGTGCTTATGTTAGAAAAGAACTCAAATGAGGTTACCTGGCTGGTTCAGTTGGAAGAGCTTGTGACTCTTGATCTCAGGGTGGTGAGTTCAAGCCCCACACTGGGTGTAGAGGTGACTTAAATAAAACTTTAAAGAAAGTAAAAATAGGGGTGTCTGGGTGGCTCAGTCAGTTAAGTGTCTGCCTTCAGCTCAGGTTATGATCCCAGGTCCTGGGATCGAGCCCCACATCAGGCTCCCTGCTCAGCGGGGAGCCCGCTTCTCCCTCTTCTTCTGCTCCCCTTGCTTGTGCTCTCACTCCCTCTGTCAAGTAAGTAAATCTTTTTTCTTTAAAAAAAAAAAAAAGAAATATATTCCATGTGCTTCAGACAACTTTTTGAAATACAGAATTACTTTAAGTATTGTTAATAAGAAACCCAGCTATAAGTATATGTTGTGCTTAGAGAGAGAGATAGCTAATGCTAGAGAGAAGCAGTCAAGATACTTTCTGTATTTTACCTGTATAAAATATTTCCTATCTGGAAGATTTATATGTATAATTTGTACATAAGATTGTATAGAATTTATATAATTACATCCCTTCAATTCATATTTATGTATAAAATGTGTTTTATATCTACATATATATTTATTTTGATGTTTTATGCAGGATAAAGATAGTCCTGAGTGATTATAACCATTTGTAAGTTACTGAAATGGCTAAAATCACATATAATAGTATAGTGACTGTATTATGCTGTATTAACAAATTTCCCAAAAGCTTAATGGCTCAAAATTAGTTATTTCACAGCTTCTGTGAGTAAGGAATTCAGGTGTGGCTTAACTGGGTCCTCTGGCTTTAGACCTCTCACAAGACTGCAGTTAGGGTGTCAGATGGGGCTCAGTGACCTCGTGGATAGAGATCTATTTCCATGGTACTCAAGTGATGTCAGGATTCATTTTCTTGGCCGTTACTAGAGCAAGGAACAGACACACTTCCTTCTCTGCCATCTTCCATGAAGTCACTCCCCTTCTCTCCTCTTGATTTAGGTGGTTATTCAAAACACAGCGTAACCTTTAAAAATATAAAACTAGTCACTCCCTTGCTTAAAGCTCCATAATGGGCTTCCTCTGCCCTTAAGATAAAACCCAAAATTCTTAAGATAACATATATTTTGTATGACTGGCCTCCATTTCTCACTATTCCCATCTTAGGCTACAATGTCTTGTTTCACTGTCCTCTATTGTAGAGTCTCTGTCAGTAGTTCTTGAACTTGCATCAGAATCAGGGAGAGGGTGGTGGGGTTATGGACATTGGGGAAGGTATGTGCTATGGTGAGTGCTGTGATGTGTGTAAACCTGGTGATTCATAGACCTTTATCCCTGGGGCTAATAATATATGTTAATAAAAAAAATAATAAAAATGCTTAAACTAAAAAAAAATCACCTGTATTTCTTCTTAAAACAGATTCCTGGGTCCATTTCCAAAGTTTTCTGTTTTAGTAGGTTTGTAGTGGGGCTTGAGATTTGCATTTCTTAGTTCCGGTGCTGCTGCTCTGCGAACCA